AGTAATCTCACTCAGTCACATGCAAACCACACCACAAAGGTAAGTACTCTCACCAACCCAAGTTTATTCCATATAAATGGTTCTTGAATACTCAAGTCTTTGAATCCTTATACCCATTTTACATAAGACGTAGAGCTGGATCATTCGTCATGGAAACAATGCCCGACTTGTCTTTATGATATACACGAACAGGTTGCACAACTACTTCTCTCTTCTTTTGGGCAGATGACTAGGCCATTCGCCATGGAAACAATGCCTAGACGTCTTGAGCTATTTAATATCCGAAAATTTAGTATTTCTCTGACTTTGTTTTCAAACGAAAAGACAAATATGGGAAGGGGACTGAACCATTCACAGTTGAAACAATATTCAGCTTGCCCAAACTATTTCCATTTATACTTTGTATTTTCCTTTGTCTCTTCTTAATGATATGGCTTAACGCTGGACCATTCACAGTAGAAACAATGCCCAACTGCCAGTTCACATGCAAATATACATAAAGTACTTTCCTTTATACTCAGTTCAATTTATGTGCGTCGTTTTCAGGCTAAACCATTCACCGTGGAAACAATGTTTAGCCTTAGACCAAAAATCCTCCCTAAGAATAAATTAGAATATAAACCCCTTCAATCAGGCACACCTTCAGAGTTAACAAGAGTAAACAGGCCATTCTCAATAGAAACAATGCCTGGTCCTCCAGAAAACAACTACATAAACATAGGCCTCAGTCATTCACAGTAGAAACAATGCTCAACCTTTGCTTGACCCTTCCAAACGCATGCAAAACTACCTTCCTCCCACCTTCCCCTAATTCATACCTTAGTCTGCTTTCAGTCAAAACAAAAGAGAAACTTAAACTTCACTTTCAAACATTCCTTCCATTTAGTTTGATTGGGTCCTGAAGGGAAAATAAAAATCATAGGGACAATCTCATGGATACAACCATATTACAGGGAGATAGGCAAAACATGGGTGGTAGTAGGTTGTAAAGATGGAAATGGTTTACGTGACGATTCCCTGCCTCCAGAACTCCTCCTGAGTTCCGGCAGGGCTCCCGCAATCGGTGGGTGGACTCCCCACAGAGTCTTGATGCGGACCTACGGGTTGCAATCCCGCCTGCCGCCTTCCTCTCGGCACCAATAGACTAGACTTAGAGAAAGAAGGGCAGAGGTAGAAGCACTAAGTTTCTCTGGTACAAGGGTGGTGTTCTCAAACTCGCAGGAGAGGGCCTTGATATCTTGGTGCGCCTGAGAGCCCTGCAATGATGGCCAAACAACACAACTTGGTCAACTTCTGACGTCGAATTGCCGACGTCAATCTCCTGACAACCTCCCAAACCGCAGCAATAACCCCCTCTTTATCCAGTCTGATCATCTCCTCGAGCCTCAACACCTCTCCTCAGCCCAACCGCATTTGTACAACAGCCTGAATCAGTCAATAGCGGCAAGTACTAGCAGCAGCGATGCTCAATGGTAATCAATAGCAACAACAGTAGTTGCCAGTAGCAGCAATCCGCACACCGTTCACCGACGCAGCAACGGCCGTTTCCCTCAGCCTGCAGCACCCTTCAGACGCAGTGGCAATACTTAGTGGCGGTCAATGGTAACGGTAGTAGTCGCCGACACAATAGTCCGTACACAGCCGACCGTAGTATGTAGCAGCGCGCACTAGTGTGCAGCAGCTGGCCCGCAGCAATAGCACACAGCGGGGGTCAACGGTAGCAGCTCGAGCCCAGTCCGCAGCAGCAACTCCCAGCGGAGGTCAACAACAATCGCAGCAGCCGAGTGTAGTCAAAAGCAGCAGTGCTCTGCCCTGGGCACGTAGACTGAGTCCCCCTTTCACCCTGGTTGAGTAACCCAATAACGAAAGCTAGCCGGTCCTGAAGTACAGTCCATTAGTCAACGACTAAGCCTCCAAGCCACGTGACCTGCTTCCTCCTCACTACTCCGCTAGTAAGGTACCGGGGAGTGTGGCAGCTACCATGGTAACATCGACAGACTGAGGAGCCTCCTGCAGCAGTTCCTAACAACTAGCAAATGAAGCCACAGCGATCAGCAACCATCAACAGCTGCAGCCTGCTGAAGCAGCCAGTACGAGTGGCAGTGTCGCATACTACCACGGTGCAGGCCAGACAAATAACCTACCTTTCGCGCCAGATACAGGGTAGCACAACGAAAGGCTTAAATACCAATGATCCAATCAATCGAACTGCCATGCAGACCAAACATGCATCATCATCATTCTATGGCGTGAAGGGGGTTGATGCTCACACATAAGAAACGCGTCAGTCCCCCGAACATACGCAGACGAAGAAGAGGGGGATGAGACGAAGGGAGGGGAGAAGATGGAAATGTCGTCAGCATCCAGTCTTCGATACAATCCCAATTAATTTTCTGCCATGAGTCTGAATCCCAATGTTGAGTCAGGGCCCCAGTGTCGTCAAGTCCAAATGTCGTCACGTCCCAATGTCGTCAGGTCCCAATGTCCCCCATCTCTCTCTCTCTGTTGGTTCACGGTCGAACATGCCTGCCCATTGGTAAGCTCCCGACCCCGCAGCTGTCCTGCCACGTGCGCAAGGTGATAGGAAACTATTCAATCAATTGGAAGAGTACATTCGAATGTATCTTTCGCTAGAAGCCAAGGAGATACATCCCTGAATCTGGCCCGAGCGTCCGGGCAGATACACGTCCCACACCGCTATCCCCGTTAACTCCCTACACAACTACTTCTCTCACTAACTTTCTATATATAAACTCTTCAACCAAACTAACTATACGATCGGGTTCGCAAGCCCCGATAATCCCAAACTTGAATTCTCCCTTGCCCGTTTTCATCAAGAAACGGGCGAGATTCCCAATTTCCTTCCTCACTTTTTTCCTCCCATCGTCGTCTCTGCGCACGATTTCTTCTTACCAACTCTACTGTTACTAACTTTTGTCTTCATCAGGCCATCTCATTCGACTCGCACGGGGTCAAAACCCCGGGATCGCTTCTTTCCCTGCCCAAATCTGTTCACCAACGGATGTGCTATGCCCTTCTTTCTTCCTCCGTTCCTCCTTCCGCCATAGCCACTGGGCAGCCTGTTTTCTCCTTACCACTTCTTCTACTTACTCATCAGTCTAACTAACCTCTCCGTTGCACTCGCCTGGGGTCAAAATCCCGGGATCGTATCCTCCCTTCCTCAAAAATGTTCACGAACGAGAGAGGTGCGTACATTTTCGCTTGCTTCCCCCCTCTCTTCAGCTATACCTCGGCGCACTAAGTTTCTCTACCAACTCTTGTTCTACTTACTCACTAAATGTTCCGACTACATAATTGGACTCGCCCACCCCTAAAACGGCAGGGGCGCCCCTCTCCCTGACTGATTTCATCTATAAACGAGCACAAAACACCCGTTTTTCCTTCTTCCACTCCTCTCCTGCTATATCTCGGCGCACCCGTTTCACTAATAGCCTCCTACTTTACTAACTATCTCCCTAAGCTGACCGCATATTTGGGGTCGCCCACCCCGAAAACCCCTGTTGACTGTCTTTTCCCGCCTGAACCCATCAAGGATTGGGCGTGATAGACGATCCTACCTCCTACCATAGCCACTTTCCCCATCGCTGCACTCCGAATGCACCCGGTACTAACCCGCGTCCAGGTTCACAACACTTCATACTGCCTCCCCCTCTCTACGTTGTCCCCACGGCCTTTGCGTTCGACTCTACTCTGCTATCGCTACGCTACTGTTACGGTACCCGCGCTGCGCCCGCTGCCCCTATCGCCTGCCTCCTACCTCCTGCGCCTTCTCTCATGTCCTCTTTGCGCATGCATGTGGCGCCCCCCCCTGTCCAGGTTCGTCCGCTCCTTTCCCTGTTGCCCTGCTGTTCGTCGCCCTCCGTCTTGCTGCTGCACTCTCCTGCTCGGTCCGTCACCACTTCCTCTTCGCTTCGCGCCTCCCTGCTTTGCATGCACCTTGCCCGCTCCGCGTCCAGGTTTGACCCCTCTTCAACTGCTTGTTACTTCCGCTGTATCATTCCTAGCGCCCGATGCCTCTGCCGTAGTGCCCGACAATCCTCCCCCCCCGTCTGATGCTCCGCTATCCATCGATCGACCCGCTGCTGCTCCGCGCAACGCAGCCCGGCCAACCCCTCTGTTCGCTTCCCTTATTTGATGCCTGCTGCTGCTGGTCATGTAGTAGTCCGGTAGCAGCAGCGCTCGCAACGTGTCCAACAACTGTCCTTAGGGGGACTTCGAAGGAAACCAGTTACTAGCCGGCTCGATTAGTCTTTCGCCCCTATACCCAAGTCCGATGATCGAACTGCACACCGACACCATTGTGACTCCACAGGGAGTCTCCCCCGCTCTGCTCAGCACGAGCCAGCCCCCTCTCGGGTTCCCAACGGGCAACCCACGCGTAGACCGCCCCGGGGTCGGGGGCGCAGGCGCAGGTGCCGATCCTAATTGTAGTAGCCACTACTTCAAAGGGGAACTTTGATGGCCGAGGTGGGGGCGGGTTTTATCTGACCCTGCTGCCGGGCCAGCCTGCCACACAACCAAAATCTCGGCAACCTCCTACCGGTGGCCCCTGTTCCACAATGTCTCGGCCTCAACGGGCATGCTCACACTCAAACCTCTCGCGGCAGATCGTCGCTAGCGGACGGCGCACCCGCAGTGACCCTTGCCGCTGATATTTATCCTACGTCGTGGGCCAAGATACCCCTCGGCCCTCATGCACATTGAACTCCTCGGTCCGCGCTCCAAAATGGGCAGGATAGAGGATTTTCCCCAACATCCTGAGCCCACGGGCCCGTCAAACGAGGCGTGTATTCAAGGTCGTCGACTGCCGCGACAACAATTAAACCCGGCATCACGTATGGATTAGGAACAACATCGGGGCCTACAGATAGAAATAAGAAAACAATAAATAATACAAAATATAAATAAGGTCGAGCGCCCCACTGACCCATGACGCCGTGGACACCCCAGCCGCGCATAGCTGTAGACGGACGTCGATACCCCACTCGCGTTGCTCACCCTAACAAGGGCCTAACCTCCTCCCGTATACTCGTTGTGCATGCGAGGCCGTGCTAGTCCGATCTGCAAGAAGCACGCCAAATACCCTTGTAAGGGTATTTGGTACGACAACGCACCCATCGTCCCTCCACCACCAGACGGAGATATGGACGTTGTTGCAGTGCCACACGACAGAGAGGTGCACGGCGAGAGAGTGGTTCAGTCCCCTGTGCCAGAGGATGATGTTGCTCGGCCGGTGGTCCGTCAGATAGTCGATAGTGTAGATACGGCTTTGCTGGGAGATTCAGGAGCGGTATCAGGGGGAGACATGCAGGAGGAGGACACACTTGGGAGTCCAGCGGCGGTGGGGGGAGATGCAGAGACAGGGGAGGACAGGGTTCGGGAGGTATATGGAGATGTGGGTGCGCCCTCGACTATACCTGGTTCACGCGAGGAGGAGGGAGCAGGAGTCATGGCGCCATCGCCGATTCCGCATGATTCACCGACAGCTAGACTCCGACCACCCAGTCAGCGGTCACGACGTCGTCCACCTCGTTACGTAGAGCAGCCACGAGGCAGTTTGATGTTCGGCGCGATGACTGTCGATGAGTTGGGTGCGTGCCTTGCGACAGATCTCACAGAGACGAGACGTGGAGTGAGGATCGACTCAAAGAAAGGCAAAGCACTTCTACCACGCGTGCAGTCCGTTTCGTGGGGCCCTGCTAGCCAGACACCACCATCAGACGCTTCGGTAGCGGTGGGTGCCATGGGAGTTGGTGCGGCGCAGTCCCCTCCCAGTGTGGCACGAGATCGCGGGACACGACCTTCTGCGCCAACCTCAGTGGCGGGCGGGCCTCGGGAGTGTGGACAGGCGACGGCACAGGCCGTGGCTTCTTTACTTGGGCGCAATCACATTCCTTGGGGCGACACGAGGAGGTCGACCGTGGGTACCAGGAAGAGGCAGCCCGGGTTGGGGAGGAGACGCTCGTCCACATCATCGACGAGGGAGGTGCATGTTGCTGGGTTTGAGCATCGTGGTGGGTTAGGTGCTAAGGTTGAGGGTGCGGGCGGACGTGGATCTGCAGCGCCCGGCGCACGAGTGTCGACTCACGGATTGAGGGAGGTTTCACAGATCCTCGGGGCAGATGTGTTGGGGCCTCCCAGGACACAGCGACCGCTACTCAGACGAGCATCATGCCTGGATGGTGAGACCACCGGGGGCGAGGGGTTGGAGATGATGCGAGGGAGACGTCGCACGGACACCATCTTAGGCTTCGCAGAGGGAGATGAGACTGAATGGCGTCACGGTGGTTGAGGACGATCACACTGACGTCGCTGAAGAGGAGGCTGACGGAGAGGAGGACCTGCCAACACACGAGGCACGCCGGGCGACCTTCGAGCATGGCGAGTGGCGAAGCACGAGCCCCCCCACACGCTCCGGACGCCATTGACTTTTTTGTGATTGTTAGTGATCAGCGGCACGACCGCATCATGTAGTTTTGACACGTTCCTTTACCGTTTGTCGCTGTAGGATGGTCATTTTCCTTATTAGGCAGTGCATATTTTTCTTGTTTCATGCAGATGGTTCATTGTGAAACCTTTTTGGGTGCACACGTTTCGACATTTCATATTTCGTATGGCACGATTGCTTCGACAGTACTGTTTGTTATTGTCCATGATGTTTTATAAGGCCTAACTGTAAGTGCAAATTGTGTGCAGCCGTATGTTTTTTTTTGGTATCATATGTGTGCATTTTTCCTTTCCCTTTGGACCTCGTCTGCATAGTTTTAGTTGTTTCTTCTTTTGTGCAGGTGACCGATCTTTTTTTTTTCACCTATGGGACGCTACTCCCATCAAACCTCGCGCCCGCCTTAAGTTTAGGGGGGCACGAGACTTGCTGGGGGTAGCCAGACCCAAACACCACCGAACCCAAACCCCACCCCACCCCACCCACCCCACCCAACCCCACCACAAAGCGCACCCCGAACCGCACCCGCAAACCCACCCCAAACCCCACCCCGAACCCTACCCCACGGTCCCCACCACAAACCACACCACCCCACCCCACCACAAACCA